TAGGGGGGGGGGGGGGGGGGGGATAAAAGGAAGCAAGACTCCAAGTAAGCAACCTTGAGCTCCTAAAGGAGGAGCAGGATATCAATCGATCAAATTAATTAATTAATTAAAGTAATAAAACAAACCCAAAACTCAGCTTCTAATTCAGTGCAGTTTCAGATCTCGACATTTACCAACACTTCTCTAGTTTTTGCACTTCAGCCTTTTTAGATTATCCTAAAATGACCTAAGCTACGTGCAATAACCTCTTTACTGTTCTCTAAGGACATATCCTGAGATTTATTTCTGAAAACTTGCAGCCCCAGAAGACAAAGGATCAATTTCACTTACCATCCACCAAATCGTAGGCATAGGATGACAAGCGCAGAGTGGTTGCACAGTATTCACATTTAAAGCAGCTGCGGTGAAAGAATTTGCCTTCAGCACTGAGCCTCTCCATCACGTAGACCCGCTTGTGGCAGAAGTAACAGACATCACTGCCTCCAACGTTGGGGGGGAATTCTTTTTTTAATGAACCCTAAAGCAGAAGAAGCAAGGAAAGCATTATGAGCTTGCTTTCATTCCCATCGATGCCATTCGTTTTCGCTTGGGTCGTCTTGAAATTTTCTATAGAGGATGCTCCAGAGAATGACCAGGACAAGGTAACCTACAAATAAATCAAGGGTTCTGAGAGTGAGAAAAGGCCAGCAAGAGTACACTCCAGAACCTGTAGCATTTAACTACCCAAAGTATACAATCCCATGGCATTAGATGGATCAGAGGATATATAAATAATGCATAGTCTTGTTGGCCTTCACCTCCCATCTCTAAAGGAGGAAATCATTATTTACCTTGTAGGGTTATTGTGAAACAGAAACTTGCGATATAGAAGTAATGGCATGGTAATAGCTCTCTTCATATACCAAGGCAAGAATTACATCCCCGTCTATGTGATATCAAGTGGCGTCTGCATACATAACCCTAAAGACACAATCTATCTCTCTGCTCATCTTTTATTCATAGGAGTCTTTATTAAGAGTCAGGAGCAAACACAGGTATGCTTGACTATCTCAAATAAAACACCAAGGAAAAAACAGATGCTGTATTATGAGATGAAGAAAAAGACCCTAATTTCAAATCTCACACACAAAAACACACATTGCTTTCTGTAAGTCATTCTCTTACCAGTTCCTTCTTGTCTAGAAGGGTTTTAGGCTGGTCTTTCCTTTGAAGCTGATTGGCTATCTGCTCAGCCAATGAGCTCACGCCTCCTGTATACATCTTTATATACTTCTACCAGGTGAAAATAATTGGGGAGAGGGAAGGTAATGGATGGAAAGAGAAACAATATAAATTGTCCTGAAATCAATGAAAGAAAAAAATGGTAAAAAGGGTGCAAAAGCGAATCAAACCATGCCAGAACAGTGGACCACGCAAGTGTGTGTGATACCAGCAAAACAGGTGATAGCAGCAACCAGTGGTGTAAGCAGCACGAAATGTAACCACTAACAGTCCATCACCGACTCCACGTGGATTCTCAGGAGGGACTAACTCATTTGCCAGATAGCCCTTTGTCAAATGGGAAGGAGTTCAAACACCCAAGTTTCTCCAGCACCCTATTTCTCCAAATGCCTTAGAACCAATGTACTGTATTTATCTCTACCCAGCAAACCAGGCACAACAATCAGACAGGGACAGCAGCGACGTGGCTACTGCTGATCCACGAGGCAAGGGAGTAGGAGCAAACTCCTGATTCAGGGAGAGACTTGCACTGCATTTACTCAACAGAGAGACAATCCAAATTTAAGAAAACCACCCATGGAAAATTGGACAGTTAAAAACTTGCTTCCATTACCACTTCTTTGCTAAATCTAAAATAATCCTCCCATCTTAAAGATACATATTTTAGAAAAAAGCCACATCTCTATTTCAGGCATGTACAGTATACAGAAGCATTTTATTCACAGCATACCCAAATATTTGGATATTATGAATACTTATGATATCCAAAAACATAAGCTCAGGAATTGAATATTCTGAATAAAGGATATTTTGGAAGAAAAAGAAAACAGCAGGAAAGAGACATTTAATTTGATTGAAATTTATTGGTATTAGCCTATAGCCCAGGAACAAGATCTTTTGTACAGGGCTCTAAAAGCAAACTGTAAATCAAACTGCACTACAGAAAAAACAGACAGGATTATTATTCAGAAATATATTGGAAGAGAGAACGCTTTTGTCTGACAAGTCACACAAAATACATCCTGCCAACACCACCATGGGGGAAGGAAAAACAGACTGAAGTTGGATGGCATCTCTTCAAGAAAAGAAAGTTTGAAAAGAGATTCAAAAACAAATTAGAACCATCCAGCAGTTCAGTCATTTCAAAAACAAAGAGTGTTCCAGCTATTATACGTTAGTTTACTTTGCACAGAAGAACACAGACTAAGACCAGCAAACTTTTCCATTCACCTTCTACGTGCTAGGCACTTCAGGGCAGTAGAAAAGTTACAATATCTTACCCTTCTCCAACCTGATGTTGGGTAGATATGCAGAATGACGTTTCCATATTGCCCAGCTGCCTGGACTGGAGAAGCATGTAAAAGCTGCTGTGACTATAATGTTATCTTTGGAAGATGAGAGAAGTGCCAGTCTAGACCCACACAGCAAGAAGATTAACAGGCCTGATGTCTGTTTCACCCACCCCCAACCCCTGAACCTACCCATTAGACATTAAGAGCCAATCTGGTGTATTGGTTAAGCTGGGGGACTAGAAACTGGGGGACTCTGAGTTCTAGTTCTCCCTTAGGCATGAAAGCCAGATGGGTGATTTCGGGCCAGTCCCTCTCTCTCAACCCAACCCACCTCACAGGGTGGTTGTTGTGGGGAAAATAGGAGACAGGAACATTAGGTACACTGCCTAGAGTTGTACAAGTAAAGGAGGGATATAAACCTAATAATGAACAAACTAGGTGGACTGAGGTTTCTACATATATTTTTCAGTTCCTTTGGATTCATAAAGTCTCTCTTTAAGAACCATCAAAGCTCATGAAATTCAATGCTGGCAGTGATCAGTGTGAAGTAATTGTTTAATTTATCCCAACTCTATTGCCAATCATTTAGTGACAATTCTAGCATTATGATAAGGAGGAAAAATCCCCATAATATGAAAGATTGTGTAAACCTATCATATGTCCACCGTAAACACCTTGTAGTATAATTTTCTTCAACTAAAATCCACAATTTAGTCTTACCTTGCATGGAAGGTTCTACAATATCCATTTTGAGTTGGGATGTCAAAATTGTACACACTACTCAGAGTAGGGGACTCCACAGATTTACATAATGGTATTACAACCCTGGCTGATTTCCTAATAATCTGTAATTCTGAATTTACCTTTTATTGTGGCCGCAAAGTTTTACTTAGAAACATAATCCCCCCCCCTTTTTTTTT